TAACACCACTTCTATTAAAGGTATTTCAGAGCATAGAAAAGGATGGAATACTCACAAACTCATTCTATGAAGCCAGCATAACCCTGATACCAAAACCAGGTAAAGACACCACAAAAAAAGACAATTACAGACCGATATCCCTCATGAACATTGATGCAAATATCCTCAACAAAATTCTAGCCAATAGAATTCAGTAACATATCAAAAAAATAATTCACCATGATCAAGTGGGATTTAAACCTGGTATGCAGGGATGGTTCAACATTAGAAAAACAATCAATGCAATCCATCGCATAAATAAAACAAAAGACAAGAACCACATGATCTCATCAATCGATGCAGAAAAGGCATTTGACAAAGTCCAACATCCATTCATGAAAAAAACTCTCAATAAAATCGGAATAGAAGAGAAATACCTCAATATAATTAAGGGCATTTATACAAAACCAACAGCCAATATCATCCTAAATGGAGAGACTTTGAAAGCATTCCCTTTGAGAACAGGAACCAGACAAGGATGCCCTCTATCACCACTATTATTCAACATTGTGCTGGAGGTCCTAGCCAGAGCAACTAGGCTAGAAAAAGAAATAAAGAGCATCCAAATCAGTAGGGAAAAAGTCAAAGTATCTCTATTTGCAGATGATATGATCTTATACACAGAAAACCCCAAAGAATCCACAAGAAAACTACTGGGACTAATAGAAGAAAGGTTCAGGATACAAGCTAAACATACAAAAATCAATTGGATTCCTTTACACCAACAAAGAGAACCTTGAAGAAGAAATCACCAAATCAATACCATTTACAATAGCCCCCAAGAAGATAAACTACTTAGGAATACATCTAACCAGAGACGTAAAAGATCTATACAGAGAAAACTACAAGATACTACTGCAAGAAACTGAAAGAGACCTGCCTAAGTGGAAAAATATACCTTGCTCATGGATAGGTAGACTCAACATAGTGAAAATGTCAATTCTACCCAAAGCGATCTACAGATACAATGCAATCCTGATCCAAATTCCACTGGCATTTTTTAATGAGATGGAGAAACAAATCACCAACTTCATATGGAAAGGGAAGAGGCTCCAAATAAATAAAGCAATATTCAAGAAGAAGAACAAAGTGGGAGGCCTTACACTACCTGATTTTAGGACCTATTATACTGCCATGGTAGTCAAAACAGCCTGGTACTAGTACAACAACAGATACATAGACCAATGGAACAGAGTTGAGAATCCAGATATAAGCTCATCCACCTATGAGCAACTAATATTTGACAAAGGCCCAAAGTCCATTAATTGGGGAAAAGACAGCCTCTTTAACAAATAGTGCTGGTATAACTGGATATCCATCTGTAAAAAACTGAAACAAGACCCATAGCTCACACCATGTACAGAAACTAACTCAAAATGGAGCAAAGACTTAAATATAAAATTGAAAATGAAAAAGATCATGGAACTAAAAATAGGGACAACGCTAGGAGCCCTAATACATGGCATAAACACAATATGAACCATAAGTAACAACGCACAAGCACCAGAAGAGAGACTAGACAAATGGGAGCTCCTAAAAATCAAACACTTATGCCCATCAAAAGACTTCACCAGAAGAGTCAAAAGACAACCTACAGACTGGGAAAAAATTTTTGGTTACGGCAAATCTGATCAGCGTCTAATCTCTAAAATCTACAAGATACTGCAAAACCTCAACAACAAAAAGACAAATAACCCAGTTAAAGAATGGGCAAAGGATATGAACAGGCACTTCACCAAAGAAGATATTCGTGTGGGTAACAGACACATGAAGAAATGCTCACGATCATTAGCCATTAGAGAAATGCAGATCAAAACTACAATGAGATATCATCTCACCCCAACAAGC